AAGGCAGGGTGGCCCGAAAAAGAAAAACTTTCACCATCATTCACTCCATCACTGTCTTGCCAGAAGGGTGCTTTACACTACAGTTTTTAAACTGCAACATTAACACCCCTCCTTCAGAGTGCAGGCACTGTACTTCCCATCTCCAGGACTCAAGTCCGGCCTGCCGGTTTCCCTGAATCCCTTCATAAATGTTACTTTGCTCACACTCCAACAGCACGTCAAGTATTAAAAACCATTTGTCTCCATTCACTCCTATCAAACACGCTCACGCATGCCTGCTGGAAGTCCAAGCCCCTCGCACACAAAACCTCCTTTACCCCCTCCCTCCAACCCTTCCTAGGCCGACCCCTACCCCGCCTTCCTTCCACTACAGACTGATACACTCTTGAAGTCATTCTGTTTCGCTCCATTCTCTCTACATGTCCGAACCACCTCAACAACCCTTCCTCAGCCCTCTGGACAACAGTTTTGGTAATCCCGCACCTCCTCCTAACTTCCAAACTACGAATTCTCTGCATTATATTCACACCACACATTGCCCTCAGACATGACATCTCCACTGCCTACAGCCTTCTCCTCGCTGCAACATTCATCACCCACGCTTCACACCCATATAAGAGCGTTGGTAAAACTATACTCTCATACATTCCCCTCTTTGCCTCCAAGGACAAAGTTCTTTGTCTCCACAGACTCCTAAGTGCACCACTCACTCTTTTTCCCTCATCAATTCTATGATTCACCTCATCTTTCATAGACCCATCCGCTGACACGTCCACTCCCAAATATCTGAATACGTTCACCTCCTCCATACTCTCTCCCTCCAATCTGATATTCAATCTTTCATCACCTAATCTTTTTGTTATCCTCATAACCTTACTCTTTCCTGTATTCACCTTTAATTTTCTTCTTTTGCACACCCTACCAAATTCATCCACCAATCTCTGCAACTTCTCTTCAGAATCTCCAAGAGCACAGTGTCATCAGCAAAGAGCAGCTGTGACAACTCCCACTTTGTGTGTGATTCTTTATCTTTTAACTCCACGCCTCTTGCCAAGACCCTCGCATTTACTTCTCTTACAACCCCATCTATAAATATATTAAACAACCACGGTGACATCACACATCCTTGTCTAAGGCCTACTTTTACTGGGAAAAAATTTCCCTCTTTCCTACATACTCTAACTTGAGCCTCACTATCCTCGTAAAAACTCTTCACTGCTTTCAGTAACCTACCTCCTACACCATACACTTGCAACATCTGCCACATTGCCCCCCTATCCACCCTGTCTCCTGGTGTCGCAAAATTAAAAAAAAAAAAAAAAAAATCTTACGAAATGATAGAGAATCTTTTCCCGATTGTAATGCCACCAAAAAAACGAAATTTGATGGAAAACTGAAGGAATTATGCTCTCGCGAAGTTAGTGACCTCGGCGATATTTACAAATCGGCAATTTCGCCCACTTTGAGCCCTATTTTCGGCTAATTCCAGTGTTCCAGTCGACCAAACTCATAGCGATTTCTTTAGTACTCCATTTTTTTCTATCGATTGAGTACAAGAAACTGCCCATATACCAATTTCAACTACCCAATAATGTAGTCAGAAATTTGCAATTTGGCCAATTTCATAAAAATTAAAAAATATGACAATTTCAAAATAAGGTCCAGAATGAACAATGTAGACATTCCTGGCTCTAAAATAACATTTTATTTGTTCATCAGTCATGTCTCAAGGCCCCTCTGATATTACTCTTGTTTTCTATTTTGAATTTTTATTCAAACAAAAAATAGAAGACTTACTATTATGCAGACTACTGCAATATTGTAATAATTGTATAAATAACATCAACCCATTCATGACTGCATATTAGAATGGCTACTTGGACATTTATTGGACAATGACATCATTTGTTTACTTTTGAACATTGGCAAAAATCAAACATTTCCCCCTATAATATGTTTTCCATTTTATCAAATGAGACCAAGAAAACTAGAATACAACCATAAATATTATACGAAAATAGACCACAAAGTCATCATTTTAATTAAAAAACGGTCAAAGTTTTTTTTTCTCATTATGCACTGCGTGCTCCAGGATTTTTTTTATATGGTGCACACTGACCACACAGACCCATTCTCTCACATATGGGCCTTCCAGCTTTCTCCTGCTTGATTTGAAGCCGCTAGAATTTATGAGTATATATACGGGACTAGTACCGAACTTGCACACGAAAATCACTCACTACGAAAGCAAAAGACTTGGCAGACGATGCAACATCCCCCCAATGAAAAGCAGGGGTGTCACTAGCACGTTAAGAGACCATACAATAAGTGTCAGGGGCCCGAGACTGTTCAACTGCCTCCCAGCATACATAAGGGGGATTACCAACAGACCCCTGGCAGTCTTCAAGCTGGCACTGGACAAGCACCTAAAGTCGGTTCCTGACTAGCCGGGCTGTGGCTCATACGTTGGTTTGCGTGCAGCCAGCAGCAACAGCCTGGTTGATCAGGCTCTGATCCACCAGGAGGCCTGGTCACAGACCAGGCCGCGGGGGCGTTGACCCCCGGAACTCTCTCCAGGTAAACTCCAGGTAATACGTCAAACACGGTACCTTGTAAGACGAATATATACGGCCGTGACAGTCAAAGGGTTAAGAGACATACTCATTTACTGATGACTTGGACTTATGACAGGCTCTCTGACCAGTATACATATGTACCTAAATGATGTATATTGGAGCTGATTTCCTCTATTCTGTTTATTACAATATACAGTATCATACTGTATAAACATTTAAAAATATACTAAAAATGTTATAAATGGTGCAAAGATGACAGTAAAACAATATCAAAGATGGTTGACACAAACCTACTACCATTATAGTATGCTCCTTGTTTAGCAACGAATTCGTTCACCATGGTCATAGGAATGAAACTCTCTAGTTAACCCTTTCACTGTCGAGACCCCAGTTCACAAATGTGCTCTCAGCGTCGAAGAATTTAAAAAAAAAAAAATCTTATGAAATAATGGAGAATCTTTTCCCAGTGTTAATGACACCCAAAGTAAGAAATTTGATGGAAAACTTACAGAATTACGCTCCTGCAAAGTTAGCAATTTTGGCGATATTCACGCACTGATGATTTTGCTCACTTTGAGTCCTATTTTCTGCCAATTCCATTGCTCCAGTCGACCAAACTCACAGGTATATCGCTAGAACTCCATTTTCTCTATTGACTGAGTACAAGAAACTTCCCATTTACTGATTTCGACAACCCAATAAAATGATCAGAAATTTGTAATTTGGCCAATTTCATACACAATTCAAGTAAGGCCAATTTCAAAACAGGGTGCAGAATTAACAATACAAACATTCCTAGCACTAAAATAACATTTTCTCTGTTCATTAGTTACATCTCCAGGCCCCTCTTATATTACACACTTATATTGTATTATATTATGCAGATTACTGCATTATTGTAAAAATGGTATAAATAATATCAGCACATTTGTAGCATACGAGACCCACCAGTTGACGTGTATTGGATGTGTGACGTGATGTGTTTACTATTGAACATAGGAAAAAATCAAACATTTCTGCTACTTTGAGCTCAATTTCAAGGTACTTTCAGTCCATAAACCCTTCAAAATCATCTCTAATTCTATCAAACGAGACCAAGAAAACAAGAATACAATCATAAATACCATAAGAAAATACACCGCAAATTCGGTGTTTTAAAGAGAAAACACAGTCTTTTTTTTTTCTCATTATGAAATGCATGCTGCAGGATTTTTTTTATACTGTGCACAATGACCACTCAGACTCATTCTCTCATATGTAGGCCTACCAGCTTTCTCCTGCAAGATTGGAAGCCATTAGAATTTTGGCCTAACATTATGGGACTGACACTGGCTTGCAAGCCGTAATATTATGGGACTGACAGTGAAAGGGTTAAGTGAGGAGAGGCTGTACTGTAGCTTATTCTGAGTATGTCCCATAGTCCATTGATTCAACAAATTCAATTCCAGTCACTGGAATACAATAGATTTTTTGATAAATTGGACAATTTTGTAGCTGAATACCGCTGTACACTCACTGCCCCCTTCAAGTATTAGTCTGCCTGAAATGCCTAGGCATGTCAGTGGCCTTCTTTGTAATTAATATTATGTATGTAAACCACACATTGTAATTAATATTGTATAATATGTAAACCCCATATTGTAATCTTTACAGAGAAATAAACATTTCAATTTCAATTTCAGGTGAAATTGCTAACCTGGAAAGTGCACAAAGAACTTTCATGGCACACATAAATATGATAAGGCACCTAAATTACTGGGAGTGGTTGAAGGCCCTTGATTTGTATTCCCTGGAGCACAGGCGAGAGATGCATGATAATATACACTTGGAAAATCCTAGAGGGACTGGTACCAAACTTGCACATGAAGATCACTCCCTATAAAAGCAAAAAAACTCAGCAGGAGATGCAACATTCCTCCAATGAAAAGCAGGGGCACCACAAGTACATTGAGAGACAACACAATAAGTGTCCGGGGCCCAAGACCGTTCAGCTGCCTCCCAGCATACATAAGGGGGATTACCAACAGGACTGTCTTCAAGAAGGCACTGGACAGGCACCTAAAGTCAGTACCTGACCAACCAGGCTGTGGTTCTTATGTCAGTTTGCATGCAGCCAGCAGTAACAGCCTGGTTGATTAGAGCCAGATTCACCACGAGGCCTGGTCTCAGACCGAGCCACGGGGGCGTTGACCCCCGAAACCCTCTCCAGCTATCCCAGTTTCCCCCATTAGTCTGTTTTATGGAGGTTTCACTGTAGTCCATTAAACTGAAGGTTCACTGTATAAATGAATGTATTTATAAGAATATAGTACTTAAAATATATAAGAACACAACAAAAAACCACGGCAGACAACTCATGCAGAATCTTAAGAGCAACTCTGTGTGCTAGCAAAACTACACACAAATTAAAGACATTGTACAAACCAATGCAGCGTCGGACAACAGAGCAACCTCCTCGTCCCAAAACTTCTTTTGGCTCATATTTGGCATAAAATCCTTTTGCTGCATCACGATCAGGCAGAATATCACCATCATCATCGACTGCCATTTTGAGTTTTTGAAACACTGTATTAAAGAAAAAAGAAACAAATTTTATTTTCAGTTAAATGATGTCCTTATTTAACCCTTAAATGGTCCAAATGTATATATACGTTCTCTCGCGGAGCGCCCCGAGTTTAAAAAAAAAAAAAAAAAAAAAAGTTTTTCTTAATAGGAAAAAAGAGCATATGGTACCCAGGCATCCCCGATTTTTTCATATGGTGCACAGTGAGTGTGCCCACCCACTCTCTCATGTCTAGACGACTCAGGCTTATTGTGGCAATGTTGAATGAATGACAAAGGAAACGTATATATATACGTTTGGGGCGCTACGCGAAAGAACGTATATATATACGTTTGGACCATTCAAGGGTTAATATGGAAAAATATACATAAGCATTTACACTTATGATTTAAAAACCAACACTCAACATATATCTAACATAATTTTTTACCCAATCTTGAGACATTTACATATAGGTGGCCCTCCACATTCATGAGTTCCACTTTCGTGAGCTTCGAACATTGGCAAATGGCCAGCTGCCCAATCGTATTTATGCTTCCTGCCACGTCCCTACTACCCTCCCTCTTACCCCCTCAACCAGCAGCCAGCTCGCCACTCACTCAGTCATTGTCCAGATATGAGTGTCACTCAACACTGGAAGAAATTCACCATCGCTGACTGCCTCTCAACAGTGCACGAGTGTGTCAAGGATTTGCACCCTTAGACAGTGAAGGGTTGTTGGAGGGCTTTGTGGCCAGAGTGTGTATGTGATTTTGTTGGATTTGGTCCTCAGGACAAGGTTAACAAAGCCATGAGGAAGGTTGGATTTAGCAAGGCTAGTTTGTGGTAAAGGGTTCAAGGACATGCAGGAGGGCGAGGTGAGAGAACTGGTTGAAGAACGCGCACTGGGAATAAATGATGAAGAGTTATTGGAGATTGTGCAGGCAGAGAATGAGGATGAAGAAGAGAAGAGTGTTACTGAGGCCAATCAACCTCAAGCCCTCACCCATGAAAAACTAGGGCAAGTGATGAGAATGACAGCACAACTCAAACAATTTTTTTACAACACAGACCCATTGATGTTGAGGGCTTTGAAGGTGATGAACAACACTGATAGGAGCATAATTCCCTACAACATTCTGCTTGTAGATATAAAGAGGAAATGGTCTCAGTTGCCCATCACAATGTTCTTCACAAGGAAGCCTGCCACTACTCCCGTTGCTAACTCTGACTAGTGATGTCGATGATCCACTGCCTATTATCGGCAGTGAGGCTGGCAGTGAAGAATCAGAATCCACACACAAGACTTATCATGCCATGCAGTTACACTCCATATAATCACCTCCATTCAACTGTCATCAGTAACTGCATGGCTATCATCATCATCATTGTCATCATCAGCACAAGTCATCAGTGTTCATCTGCCTAACCTTACAAGTGGTGAGTGTTTTGTTTGTTCATTATTTGTTATTAAACCATAACATGTATGTATTTTCAGGTAGTAGGTTGGTAGACAGCAACCGCCCAGGGAGGTACTACCGTCCTGCCAAATGAGTGTAAAACAAAAGCCTGTAATTGTTATACATGACGGTAGGACTGCTGGTGTCCTTTTTTTCTGTCTCACGAACATGCAAGATTTCAGGTACGTCTTGCTACTTCTACTTACACTTAGGTCACACTACACATACATGTACAAGCATATATATACACACTCCTCTGGGTTTTCTTCTATTTTCTTTCTAATTCTTATTCTTGTTTATTTCTTATCTCCATGGGGAAGTGGAACAGAATTCTTCCCCCGTAAGCCATGCGTGTTGTAAGAGGCGACTAAAATGCCAGGAGCAAGGGGCTGGTAACCCCTTCTCCTGTATAGATTACTAAATTTAAGAAGAGAAACTTTCGTTTTTCTTTTTGGGCCACCCTGCCTCGGTGGGATACGGCCGGTTTGTTGAAAAAAAAAAAATGTATGTTTGCGATGTTTTCACATGTTTACGATGTTTTCATGTGTTTACGATGTTTTCATGTGTTTTATGATTGTTTGTGGTTCAATAGGTTAAGGAAGCAGTATTATTTGGCTAAGTAAATGCTATTACTGTATTATATTTCCTTACAATAAATTTGTGAACCAAACATTCGCGAATTTTCAACATTCGCGAGGTTCTTGATTTCCTAACCCTCACAAATGTGGAGGGTCACCTGTACTTATTAGCCCTTAAACTGTCCAAACGTAGATCTACATTTTTTTGACATTTAAAAGTATGTAAAACAACATAGATTTTTTTTTTTTTTTACATTTGAAAACGTGTAAAAAAAAAACTTTGATCTACGTTTTATTTTTTGTTATATTTGAAAATATGTAAAAAACCATAGATCTACTTTTGGAGCACTACGCATGCAAACTTAAATCTGTTTGGACTGTTTAACCCTTAAACGGTCCAAACGTATATATACGTTCACACGCGTAGCGCCCCAAACGTATACAGTGGACCCCCGCATACCGCACGCATCGCATACCGTACAATCCGCATACCGCTCGCTTTTTTCGCAAAAATTTTGCCTCGCATACCGCCCAAAAACCCACTCACCGCCCTTCGTCCGAGACGCGTCCAATGTGCGGCCTGAGCCACGCTCACATGTTCCGCCGGTGGCATTGTTTACCAGCCAGCCTCCGCGGTAACATCCAAGCATACAATCGGAACATTTCGTATTATTACAGTGTTTTTGGTGATTTTTTCTGGAAAATAAGTGACCATGGGCCCCAAGAAAGCTTCTAGTGCCAACCCTACAGCAATAAGGGTGAGAATTACTAAAGAGATGAAGAAAAAGATCATTGATAAGTATGAAAGTGGAGTGCATGTCTCCGAGCTGGCCAGGTTGTATAATAAACCCCAATCAACCATCGCTACTATTGGTGGTACAGCTGCTGCTGTACCACCGTCAGCTGCTGCTGCACTGTCAGCTGCTGCTGCTGCTTGTTGTACCACCGTCAGCTGCTGCTGCTGCTGTAGCATCGTCTGCTGCTGCTGTAGCATCGTCTGCTGCTGCTGTAGCATCGTCTGCTGCTGCTGTAGCATCGTCTGCTGCTGCTGTAGCATCGTCTGTTGCTGCTGTAGCATCGTCTGTTGCTGCTGTAGCATCGTCTGTTGCTGCTGTACCACCGTCAGCTGCTGCTGCTGCTGTAGCACCGTTGTTGGTGTGGCTTATTGAGAATACCAAGAAACAATTAACCCCAGAGGATTTGCCACCCAGGATAACCCAAAAAAGTCAGTGTCATCGAAGACTGTCTAACTTATTTCCATTGGGGTCCTTAATCTTGTCTCCCAGGATGCAACCCACACCAGTCGACTAACACCCAGGTGAACAGGGAAAAATACCTGGAACTAGTGCTCATATTGGTGAATTTAAAGCCAGCAAAGGTTGGTTTGAGAGATTTAAGAATCGTAGTGGCATACACAGTGTGATAAGGCCTGTTCTGGAAGAAAATGCCAAACAGGACCTACAGTACTCAGGAGGAAAAGGCACTCCCAGGACACAGTGTCTCATCAGTCATTGCTGCATCTTCAATAAAGGTAAGTGTCATTTATTCTTCATTTAGTAGAGTAGTACATGCACAATATATATTGTGCATGTACTACTCTACTATTGTGCATGTATCCTTCTCTTTGTGTGTAGGAAAATGTATATTTCATGTGGTAAAATTTTTTTTTTTTCATACTTTTGGGTGTCTTGCACGGATTAATTTGATTTCCATTATTTCTTATGGGGAAAATTCTTTGGCATACCAAACATTTCGCATAACAATCAGCCCTCTTGCACGGATTAAAGTCGCTATGCGGGGGTCCACTGTATATACGTTTTCTTTGTCATTCATTCAACATTGCCACAATAAGCCTGAGTCACCCAGACATGAGAGAATGGGTGTGTGCACTCACTGTGTTCCATATTAAAATAATTGGGGATGCATGGGTACCATATGCTCTTTTTTCCTTCTAAAAGAAAAGATTTCTTTTTTCCTCAAAAAATTTGGGGCGCTACACGAGCGAACGTATATATACGTTTGGACCATTTAAGGGTTAAGGGTTAAGGGTTAAAATAAAATTATTATTAATATTATTAGTATTATTTCTAGAAATATGTAAATTGGCTGTCTTTCTCTAAAATTATGGGATATATGTTAAAGATTAATTTGGAAAACATAGTTAAACATACACCAAATAATTATTTGCTGCTTGCTTGCACCAAAGAATGAAGTGCTGTGATGTCTACACCTAAAGAATGAAGTGCTGTGATGTCTACACCTAAAGAATGAAGTGCTGTGATGTCTACACCTAAAGAATGAAGTGCTGTGATGTCTACACCTAAAGAATGAAGTGCTGTGATGTCTACACCTAAAGAATGAAGTGCTGTGTGGCATCTACACCTAAAGAATGAAGTGCTGTGTGGTGTCTACACCTAAAGAATGAAGTGCTGTGTGGTGTCTACACCTAAAGAATGAAGTGCTGTGTGGTGTCTACACCTAATGAATGAAGTGCTGTGTGGTGTCTACACCTAAAGAATGAAGTGCTGTGTGGCGTCTACACCTAAAGAATGAAGTGCTGTGTGGCATCTACACCTAAAGAATGAAGTGCTGTGTGGTGTCTACACCTAAAGAATGAAGTGCTGTGTGGCATCTACACCTAAAGAATGAAGTGCTGTGTGGTGTCTACACCTAAAGAATGAAGTGCTGTGTGGTGTCTACACCTAAAGAATGAAGTACTGTGTGGTGTCTACACCTAAAGAATGAAGTACTGTGTGGTGTCTACACCTAAAGAAAGAGTTCTGGTGAAAGCCTGAAAATACTAAAAGATGTCAACACTAGTTATTAGGAGGAAGAGACATGATGTGCACACAGAAAGTAATAAGTAGAACTGTGGCTTCTACAGAGTAAACAAGTGACCATCAATGCAAATTAAGAAAAATATGGGGGTTATACGCTACTGGAAAAGTTTCCTTTACAAAGAGTCATAATGCGTTTAGCACTTAACATTAATTAAGCAACAAATAAA